TACACCGCAGGAAAGTATATATCTGACCGGTGCTACAACGGCACAATAATGTCGACGCTGTTCGTCACGCAATACTGTCATGTGCATTTTCACTGGGGAGGAGTGGTGGTGCTAAAAAGTACATGTAGCACACCTAGAAACCCTTTATACACGACTAAAGAGTTTTTTTAAAGCCGATTTATCAACGAATACTACGCATTTGCACGATGGCATTACTTTACTTTACCTTTCATGTATTTTTTTTTAAATTTAGTAATCCCAGCAAGATCAAAAGTCCTGATTTGTACAAGAAAGCGAACTGAGGATTCTGGTCGTAGCATAAAATGGTGTCATCGTTAGTTACGACATAATAAACATCGACAAAAAACTGAACCTGTTGGCACTGCGACAAAAAATAGAGTTTGGCCTTTGCAAAAAATTGGAAAATTTTGTAATTAACAAAACTTGAAAGATGCCTACAGCTTTTTTTCAGGCGACAAAATCCTCTGTTCCTTTTATTTTGACAGCTATCCTTCGTTGGGTCATCTTATTTCGCGAACGTTACCAATTAACGTTATTGGTTACACTAACAACTCGCGTGTCACATTTGCGAACAGGGTTTCAAAAATGAAAAAGCAGCAAGAATCATTGTTGCAGGCGCTAATCAAAAGGGGTATGCTGCTAGTTGCGGCCTGTTGTACACGAATTTTTGTGAGCGTAATCAGTTCTTGTTTTGTATAAAAAGGTCATGAAAGTTTTCTGTACAGATTCTTCGAGACTTGTGCCTTTTATTCGTTAAAACACCGAAGTCCCTTTAAACACTTTACACGAATGTATAGTGATTGCGGCCCGGGAGAGATGGGGATGGGTAATCCCTTATATCGGCTATATAGGTGTGTGCGGCGCCAAAGAGTATGGTTTTTTAGCTTTTTTGGTCTAAAAAAGGGTATCAGTTTCGACCAGTTTGGTCTGGGTATGTTTTTTTAGAAGAAGCTACTTCTTCATCATTAGGCGATAAGACCATTTCCCTTTGGGTCTTAGGCCTACCGGGTACGTTCCGTAATAGTGAACTTCTGTACAGTTTTGTATCCTGCTTAATCAAAGCGTATCAACATTGCTTTTAACATTGGTCTGACCTAGGGAACTGATTAATAAGGCAGGTCTGAAATAGGGTATTGATTCAAGGATAAGGTCTGAAATAGGGTAGGGAAAATCTCATATTTTGGTCTGAAATAGGGTAAGGGTTTCAGGAAGCGTGCCGCACAACCCCGCCCAATTTTTCTGGAAGTACCCCCCCACCGCCGGGGATTGCGTGAATAGCGCGCGCACTGAAAAAGAGTGTGACGTCACAGCTCATGCAAACCCGACTTTTGCATGGGCTGATTTAGCAACAGAACGCGAACGTCAGTTGACGACGGGAAAGAGCGCGGAAAGGACTAAACGCGACTTTCGTTGCCAATGTGCCGCTCTGTTGTTTGATTAGCGCGCGCCGTCGTCAACTGACGCTCCCGTTATGTTGCTAAATCAGCCTAGAGTTGTGTTTGCGAGAGAGTTTGTAGTAATGACGTCACTATCTTTCACGGTGCGCGCGCTATATTTACGCGCTATCACTTTGCTCTTTATCTTCGAGATTATCCTCGTCATCAATAAGCAGATCGTCCCATTCCTCTTGTATTCCTACTATTTAAGAAAGTTATGAGGAGTAGAGAGAGGGCGCTTATTCGATAGGGGCGCTTGTTTGATATTACAACGGGGTGAGCGCTTATTCGGGGACGGGCGCTTATTAGAGCGTGGGCCCTTACCGAGGTAATACGGTACACAGATATGTAACAGGTTAAATCAAAAAGAGTTAAAATGAACGCACAGGACAGACCACCAAACACGTTCAGATGCATTTATACAAAATAGAAATACCGTTTGTTGAAAGGAAAAGTTAACAAGCGCCTCCCTTATTAAGCGCCCTCCTTCCAGTTTAAGCACCTCTCCTTTTAGCCGAGCTGGGGCGCTTGTTCGAGGAAATACGGTATTTACTTGTATTTATATTTGCAAAATATAACGAAGTTTTAAAGAGGTGTCTCGCAACACCACCACTACTATGATTCTAAGAGAAGGGTTGGGAAATGACCTTAATGTCAGAGGTCCCTAGACTGTGACTGCACGGCTTACGTTAGAGTTTGTTCTACAGAATTGCAGCTGCAGACTTTTACTAAATTCTTTAACAACTCCAAGTACGACTTCCTTTCGGCAGGTTATGGCACTGATAACGGTCCTGATACCGATTAATAAAATCACCCAGTCCGGGAGCTGACAACCAAAATTGTGAATAAACAAAATGACCAGTATTTGGATCTTAATAGGGAAAGACCGTGTCTAAGGGTATCACTATCTTAAGCTATAGATTGTCTTCATTCACTCTATACCGGAGAGGTTTTGTGCAGGCACAAAAAGAAAGCATATCCGATAGGGCTTCTGTTCACGCAAAGAAGGGTGATTTCGGTCCGAAAAAAGCCCGGTGGTTACT